TACTTTTGCATCCCAGTCCCCTATAATGAAAAGGATATCTTTTTTGGGTGTTAGTTCTAGAGAGTCTTGTAGGTCTTCATAGCACCGTTCAACTTCAGCTTCTTCAGCATTACTGGTTGGGCAATAGACTTGGATTACTGGGATACTGAGTGGTTTGCCTTGGAAACGAACAGAGATCATTCTGTCGTTTTTGAGATTGCATCCAAATACTGCATTTCAGACTCTTTTGTTGACTGTGATGGCTACTCCATTTCTTCTAAGGGATTCTTGCCCACTGCAGTAGATACAGTGGTCGTCTGAGTTAAATTCACCCATTCCAGTCCATTTTTGTTCACTAATTCAAAAAATATAGATATTCACTCTTGCCATCTCCTGTTTGACCACTTCAAATTTGTCTTCATTCATGGACCTAACATTTTAGGTTCCTATGCAGTATTGCTCTTGACAGCTTCAAACTTTACGTCCATCACCAGTCACATCCACAACTGCGTGGTGTTTTTGCTTTGGCTCCATCTCTTCATTCTTTCTGGAGTTATTTCTCCACTGATCTCCAGTAGCATATTGGGCACCTGTTGAGCTGGGCAGTTCATCTTTCAGTGTCCTGTCTTTTTGCCTTTCCATACCGTTCATGGGGCTCTCGAGGCATACTGCTCATGGGGTTCTCTTTTGCCTCCTTTGCTGTGAATTAATTGATCCTAGGTGTGTGGGTTTGTTTCTGGGCTTTCTGTCCTGTTCAGTTGATCTGTAACTCTTTACTTGTGCCATTTCTTGTTGTTGTTCAGTCACTGAGTGTGTCCAGCTCTATGCACTCCTGTGGACTGCAGCATGCCAGGCTTCCCTGTCCTTCACCATCGCCCAGAGTTTGCTCAGACTCGTGTCCATTAAGTCAGTGATGCCATCCAACCACCTCATCCTCTGCTTCCGTTTCTCCTCTTGCCTTCAGTCTTCCCCAGCATCCGGGTGTTTCCAGTGAGTTGATGCTTCGCATCAGGTGCCCGAAGTATTGGAGCTTTAGCATATTCACATTGATTTCCTTTAGGATTGACTGGTGTGACCTCCTTGATGTCCAAAGGACTGTCAAGGGTCTTCTCCAGCACCACAGTTCAAAAGCATCGATTCTTCAGCTCTCAGCCTTCATTATGGTCCGACTCTCCCATCCACACATGACCACTGGAAAAACCATAGCTTTGACTCTATGGACCTTTGTCGGCAAAGGGATATCTCTGCTTTTTAATTCACTGTCCAGGTTTGTTGCAGGTCTTCTTCCTGGGAGCAAGCGTCTTTTAATTTTGTGGCTGCAGTCACTGTCTGCAGTGATTTGGAGCCCAAGAAAATAAAAGTCTGTCACTGTTTCCCCTGTTTCCCCATCTGTTTGCCATGAAGTGATGGGACCGGATGCCATGATCTTTGTTTTTGCATGTTGAGTTTTAAGCCAGCTTTTTCACTCTCCTCTTTCACCTTCATCAAAAGGCTCTTTAGTTCCTCTTCACTTTCTGCTGTTAAAGTATCATCTGCATACCTGAGGTTGTTGATATTTCTCCCAGCAATCTTGATTCCAGGTAGCGATTGATCCAGCCCAGCATTTTGCAGGATGTACTCTGCTTTGTAAGTTAAATCAGCAGGGTGACAACATATAGTCTTGATATAGCCCTTTTCTAATTTAGAATCAGTCTGTTGTTCCATGTTCAGGTCTAACTTGTTTCTTGTCATGTGTTTAGGTTTCTCAGGAGGCATGTAATGTGGTCTGAGATTCCCATCTCATTAAGAATATTCCAGTTTGTTGCGATACACACAGTCATAGGCTTTAGTGTAGTCAATGAAGCAGAAGTAGGTGTTTTTTTTGAAATTCCCTTGCTTATTCTATGATCCAGAGCATGTTGGCAATTTGAAATCTGGTTCCTCTTCCTTTTCCAGATCCAGCTTGTACATCTGGAAGTTCTCAGTTCACATATCCCTGAAGTCTAGCTTGAAGGATTTTGAGCATAATCTAGCTGGGATGTAAAATGAGTACAATTGTACAGTAATTTGAAAATGAGTACAATTATACAGTAATTGTACATTGCTTTGGCATTGTCTTTCTTTGGGATTGGAACGAAAACTGACATTTTCCAGTCCCGTGGCCACTGCTGAGTTTTCCAAATTTGCTGGCATAATGAGTGCAGCACTTTCAGAACATCATCTTTTAGGATTTGAAATAGCTCAGCTAGAAATGCATCACCTCCACTAGCTTTGTTCATAATAATGCTTTCTAAGGCCCACTTGACTTCACACTCCAGGATGTCTAGCTCTAGGTGAGTGATCACACCATCATAGTTGTCTGGGTCATTAAGAACTTTTTTGTACAGATCTGTGTAGTCTTGCCACCTCTTCTTAATCTTTTCTGCTTCTGTTAGGTCATTGCCATTTTTGTCCTTTATTGTGCCCATCTTTGCATGAAATGTTCCCCTTTGCATGAAATGTCTCCATTTTGCTTCAAGAGATTTCTAGTCTTTCCTATTCTGATATTTTCCTCTATTTCTTTGCATTGTTCACTTAAGAACGCTTTCTTATATCTCCTTACTATTCTCTGGAACTCTGCATCCAGTTGGGTATACCTTTCCTTTCTCCTTTGCCTTTCTCTTTTTTTCTCAGCTATTTGTAAGGCCTCCTCAGACAACCATTTTGCCTTTTTGCGTTTCTTTTTCTTGCGGATGGTTTTGGTCACCACCTCCTGCACAATGTCATGAACCTCCATCCATAGTTCTTCAGGCACTCTTCTACCAGATCTGGTCCCTTGAGTCTATTAATCACCTCCACTGTATAAACATAAGGGATTTGATTTACGTCATACCTGAATGTCTTAGTGGTTTTCCCTACTTTATGCAGCTTGACCCTGAATTTTGCTACAAGGAGCTTATGAGCTGAGCCATAGTCAGCTCCAGGTCTTGTTTTTATGACTGTATAGAGCTTCTCCATCTTTGGCTACAAAGAATATAATCAATCTGATTTCAGTATTGACCATCTGGTGATGTCCATGTGTGGAATCGCCTCTTGTGTTGCTGGATAAGAGTGTTTTCTATAACCAGTGTGTTCTCTTGGTAAAACTTTGTTAGCCTTTGCCCTGCTTCATTTTGTACTCCAAGGTCAAACTTGCTTGTAATTCAAGGTATCTCTTGACTTCCTTCTTTTGCATTCTAGACCCCTATGATGAAAAGGACATCTTTTTTTTGGTATTAGTTCCAGTAGGTTCTGTAGGTCATCATTGAACTGTTCAACTTTAGCTTCTTCAGCATTAGTGATTGGGTAATTGACTTGGATTATTGTGATATTGAATGGTTTGCCTTGGAAATGAGCTGAGATCATTCTATCATTTTTGAAATTACACCCAAGTACTGCATTTTGTCCTTTGTTGACTAAGAGGGCTACTCCATTCCTTTAAGGGATTCTTGCCCACAGTTTTAGATATAATGATCATCTGAATTAAATTCACGCATTCCCTTCCATTTTAGTTTACTGCTTTCTAAAATGTCAGTGTTCAGTTTTGCCATCTTCTGTTTGACCACATTCATTTAATCTTGATTCATGGACCTAACATTTCAGGTTCCTATGCATTATTGTTCTTTACAGCATCGGACTTTACTTTTACCACCAGACACATCCACAGCTGGGCATTGTTTTCGTTTTGGCTCACCCTCTTCACTCCTTCTGGAGCTATTGCTCCACTCTTCTCCAGTAGCTTATAGGGTACCTACCGAGCTGGGGAGTTCATCTTTCAGTGTGATATCTTTTTGCCTATTCATACTGTTCATGATGACTGTAGCTTTATAGTATAGTCTGAAGTCTTTTCCCCAGCTCTGTTTTTCTTTCAGGATTGCTTTGGCTGTTTGGGGTCTTTTGGATTTCCATAAAATTTTAAGTCTTTTGTTCTTGATCTTCCATTGGTAACTTGACAGGGATTGTGTTGAATCAGTAGACTGAGGTAGTATTTTGATTGAGTGTTCCAGTCCAATAACATGGTTTATCTTTCTGTTTGTTGATGTCATCTTTAGATTTTTTAAGCAGTTATCTTCTAGTTTTTGAACTTCAGTCCTTTTGCCTCCTTAGGTAGGTTTATTTTTAGGTATTTTTTTTATTCTTTTTGATGTAACAGTAAATGAGATTGTTTCCTTCTCCTTATCTTTAGTGTTAGTAGATAGACATGTGGTACTTACTGTTTGCCATGTTTATAATTTTTAAATGAAGATTCTTGCTAAGTTCAGGCAAGCCTCCTATTGGATTGGCCAGTTTGTTCATCTTTCAGAAAGCCCCAAACAAACTTTTTGGCCAACCCAGTATTATGCAGGTAGTGCTATTCTGAGTCTTAATAGACTTTGGCACTCAGGGGAAAGATATATATATATATGCAGGTTTATAGTGGTTCTTGTATGTTTGTTGTTGGTCATTTTAATATCACTGCCTGAAGTCTTCACTTAAACATCCATTTTTCAGTCATACCTTCCCTGCCTAACTTATCTAAAATGTCACCCTTCTGTAGCATTTCATATCACATTTTTGTTTTTTTTTCTTCTTAGAACTTATCATCTAACTTACTGTATGTTATGCCTACATATCTTTAATCTGATTTCCCCATTAGAAAGTAGGTTTTGTGTGCATAAGTGTGTTTCATTCAATGCTGAATACCTAGAACAAGCCTGGTAAGTAGTATGTATTCAGTAAATGTTTGTTTTATGAGTGCATGCTAACCATAGTCACTAATATGTCTCCTGAACTCTCATTTTATTTCAAGGTAAAATTTCTCTCTCATAGTTGTGTGTTGTTTGCAATATATAATGAATTTACATCTGAGGAAGTAATGTAAAAAACTTGTTGTTTAAAAAAATCTATTTTTGTATGTTAAATTAGAAATTTTAGTATTTGAGTAATAATTGAAATCATTTAAGAAAAACTGACACTAAAGTAAGTTTGAAGTTTGGCACATGAAAACTCATTAGATCAGGATATTAAAGTCTTTTTTTGTACAGGTGCAAGTGGCATGAAGAAAATGACATTCTCTTCTGTGCTTTAGCTGTTTGCAAGAAAATTGCGTAAGTTAGGAGTGTCTTCATAATACTCGAATCTGCATTGAATTCTTTGCAACTTTCCTTGTTGCTTTGACACACAGGATGCATCACTTCACCTCTGTTTCCACAGTTCCCTTTTAAAACAAATGCTTTTTAAAATCATGTTACTTTTATTATTCTGCCCCTGTCACTGCTTGTTGGATGTAGTTACCACCTGAGCAATTTGACCCTTTAGAAGCACTTAAGCTGAATTTTTCCTTCTAGGGTTCCTATAGGAAAGCAAAATCCCCTACTTCCTCTTGAAGGCGCTCAAAAAACATAGACCCTTTTCTCCTCATTTTGTCAGGAAAGTGCCCGCAGCCTCAGATCTGTGGGTGCTCTGTTGATCACTTTATACAGCTGCTGATGGTTGGTCTGAGAACGAAGAAGTGTCTAAGGTTTAACCCTCCTCCTGGTGGCGTCTCTCCCTGCCTTAAATATGTGAGAATTCTGGTGATCTGTACCCTCATTCCTGTTCTCTTTACCGAGGCTGATACATTTGCTAATCAAAGTATTGCTTACCACTGATATCCAGTTTTATATGTGCTGCTACCAATTCCCATTTTTATTCAAATCTCTAAATTTCTTTTTCCCCAGATTTACAGTATCTCTCACATACTTTGTTAGAAATTTTTAAAATGTGACTGCTTTTTAAATGAATTAGATAAGATTCTGATATTGAACATTTTGAATTCCTTTTTAAAGGTACTGCATCAGTAATTCTCTGGCCACTCTCTTTGGAATCCAGCTCACAGAGGCTCATGTACCACTTCAGGATTACGAGGCCAGCAATAGTGTGACCCCCAAGATGGTTGTGTTGGATGCAGGGCGTTACCAGGTAGGGAGCTGACTCTTGTTGCGGGTTTCTTGTGTCCTGCTCAGCGTGGTCCTGGTCCACGGCAGACAAAGAGCTTTCCGGCTTGGGTCTCTCCTCTCTTAGACGTTTTTTAATCCTTCATGGAATGTCAGTTTTTATTCCAATTGGATTTTGCATAAGATCCTTTTCTTTCCTGGTATACTTTTTCCTTCTGGGGAACATTTGGCATTAGTCTTTATACAAAACACATTCAAACATTTATTCAAAAAATTATATGATACACATTTTTGAAGTAGATATTTTAAATACAAGACCTGATTCCAGATTTGATTAGAGGCTAATATAATTTCCCTACCACCTCTCTTCCCTCTTTGCTATTTACTTACTCGTAGACCTTGCTATAATACTGAGAACATAGCAGTTAAGAGTGTGGGCTCTAGTTGAATTCCTGAATTTCACTTCAGGTTCTGCTACATGTAGGCTGGGTGACTGCAAGTTATTTGAACTTTCTGTGCCGAGTTCTTATCTGTAGAACAATAATAATAATAAGGGCCAGTAGTTGTAGGGTTAAATGTAGCAGCATATGAAAGTACTAAGAATTCTGCCGAAGAATATAGTATATAATAAATATTATTATTTTAAAATAATAAAATAGTGAAAGGGGAACCCCAAAATGGAATGAATGATTGACACAAATAACTATTAGTATCAATCTCAAAGGCAATGCTTATGCATAGCAAAAGCAGCAGTCTCAAAACTTATATACTGTATGATTCCATTTATGTGACATTCTTGAAGATACAAATGATGATGATGGACATGTCAGTGGTTCTCAGACAGTCGGGGAGGGTGTGTCTGTGAAGGGATAGTGAGAGGGAGGTTTTTGAGGTGATAGGATGGCTCTGTCTCCTAACTGCAGTGGTGGTTTCACAAATCTCTTTGTTAAAACTCAGAAATGTAACCCCCCACAAAAGCCTGTCTTACTTGTGTGACAATTTCAAAATCTGGGCAAGACTGTCCTCTCTGTCTCGCTAACCCCTGGCCCAGTGACTCTCAGTGGGGGCCAGTTTCTGTGCCGTGCAGGAGACACTTGGCAACACGTGGAGGTGTGTGTGGCTGCTGCAGCTGGGAATGGGGCGCTGCTGGCTCCTAGTGAGTAGGCACCAATAGGCCTGCTAAACACCTGATAATGCACAGTGGGAGAAAGGGAGAGCGAGCGCCACTCCGTCGCGTCCGACTCTGTGCGACCTGTGGACTACACAGTCCATGGATTCTCCAGGCCAGAATGCTGGAGTGGGTAGCCTTTCCCTTCTCCAGGGGATCTTCCCAACCCAGGGATTGAACCCAGGTCTCCTGCATTGCAGGCAGATTCTTTGCCAGCTGGGCCACAAGGGACAGGACAACCTTCTAAACAAAATATTACTTAGCCCAGAAATGTCAGTAGTATCCAGGATGAGAAACCCTGCCTTAGCCCCATCATCGCTGTCTGTGTTGAGACTGCCAGGTTTAGTCACATTATCCCCCCTTTCATTGTTAGCATCAGTCACTATGCAAGCTCAGGATACCTAGATCCTCGCTCATCTCCCAGACTCATCTTACTAGGCCAACTCTGTATCCAGCCCTCCCCAACTGTGTGTCTTCTCAACCTCAGCTATGAACAAAATCTTGGATCGTCAGCCTCCTCTGGGGAAGGCCTGTTTTCCTCCTCGATTCTAACTAAAATTTGACTGTCTTCTAAAGACACTGCTTCCCTGTTAGCTCTTTAAAATGCCGACATTTTTTCCCCCTCACTTATTGTGGGCCTAGATTTGAAGTGGTTGTCCTTATTTAACTTTGTGGCCTCCAGACTTCCTAACTTCTCTCTAAAATCGCTAGGCTTTGAATCTCATGTCATTCAGGCTGTAGCACCTGATAACCCCTTTTTGGAGTCCCTAGGCCCCTGAGTTGGACATCTTCATTCTTAGAGCAACATTGAGGCAGAAGATAAAACAGTATTGCCATCAGAATTCTTGATTACAGTTTCCCCACAGATCTTTCTAACTGCCTGATATTTCAGTTCGTTGACTTCCCCTTCTCCAGTGGTGCTATCTCCTGCCATCCATCAAATATCCACTCCCATGATCATATTCTAGGTCCCAGTGGCATCTTCGCGCAATCTCGATTTCAAGCATCTTGCTCTCTGACTACCACTGTCCTCCTCTGGTACCTCAGTGCCAGCAGTTCTTGTATCTTGACTGAGACCTTCTATGTCTCCACTATTCTGAAGCCCTCCTTCACAGGGTCACTGCACTGCACAGCTCTAGGGGTACCATTCACATGGACGGTGCTGCATCTTGCATCTTTCTGTCTCCTCACCTTGCCCTTCACCTCCTTCCTTCCCTTTTTAGATTCCTTGCTCTGTTATTTCCACTCACTTGCACTGTCAACTCCATTGGCCTTTCATTCTTCATCATACTTGGTTAATAAACACTAATCCTGATTAAATCAGCTTTTTACCTACTCTGTTCTTATACATTTGAAAAGAAACTACCATACTGACTGGTATTATTTAATCTCTATCACCACCAGCTTCAAGTGAGCCCTTAGCAGTGCGTGGCAGTTGTCCATTTCTCTGGTTTAATTAATCTTCCTCTCTCCTAGGCAGTTATTTCTCATCTTCTCTCACTTCAGACTTCCATCACCTTCCTTCATCCTTGTTCTAGCTGATGCTCTTATCCCCTCCTTCTCTGAGAAAGTAGAAGCAGTCAAGAGGTTTCCCATGTATTCCTACCATTACATTCACCATATACTTTGCTTTAATGCATGAATTGCCTATGTTTCTAAGGCCAATCCTTTTATTTCTATATATCTCATTCTCTTACCTACCTAAGGACATGGCTCTAATGATTTTATACTTTATCCTTCATCACTAGGGTTTCTCTCTGTTCTGAGTCATTCTTATTAGGAAACATTGTATGATCTCATATTTAAAAATAAAAACCCTTTTTTATGCTATAATTTCCCCCTCAAAGATTTCCTTCTGCTTTCCTTTACAACAGTACTCTTCAAAAGTTGATCAGACATTGGAAAGTAGGTGTTCATTTGTATTTAAGGAGTAATTTGAAGTAGATGATCCAATAATAAGAAATAAACGTTTCCCACTGATTTTTTGTTTGTTTGTTTGTTGGTTGCTTTTTACTTATAGAAGCTAAGGGTTGAGAGTCCAGGATTCTCTCATTTCAGCTCTTCTAATCAAGACCAAAGATCAAACACACCCACTGGTAAGCATCTTATGTTTATTTTAATAAGGCACCTTAAAAAGTTAGGGTCTTTCCAAGATCCCAAGGTATGGTACTTAAACAGATGTTCCAAATTGGCTTTAGGACATAAGAATCTTGAATTGGGAGTTTTACTTGTCAAAAGCACTTTTTTTGGATATGTGTGACTTTTTACCACTTTGATAAAATTTAACTTACTCTTCAGAATTTTGTTCAGGGCATTTAAAATAAAGCCGATTACTCTTGTAGCAGCTGTTGTTTTATAGTTTTGATGTGAGGGTGTCTTTGGGGAAATGAGAAAGTTTAAAAAAGCTAATGACATGAAATTTCAAATGGTCCCTGAAGAACTTCAATTAACATTTCCGGGACTTAAAAAGAATATTCTTGTTCAGCCTTTTGGCATTTACTCTAAGAATTATCTCCCCTTTTGATGATCTGTTTAATCATGGTTTAGTGAAAGGCGTGCAGTAGGATGAATCAATTGAGGACGCTGTTTATAAGAAGACTGTAAAATTGCTACATTTCTTTTCTTGTATTTTTAATATCCTAGGTGACTACCCATCTGGGGTGAAAATCTCTGGCCAAAACAGCAGTGTTCGGGGAAGAGGGATTACCCGCTTACTAGAGAGCATCTCCAATTCCTCCAGCAATATCCATAAATTCTCCAGCTGTGAGACTTCAGTCTCGCCTTACACATCCCCAAAACACGGATACAAATCTTTCTCTTCCTTATCTTAATGATGGTACATTTTTCAATTTCTGGAAAAATAACAGGCCCAACTTCCCTTATGACTATAGTCATATATTAAACAGATGACATTAATGATAAATGTCATTACTATAAAAACTACTTAATTTGTAAGGAAATTCTGTTTCATGGATTAAAAATAATTGTGGTTGGAGAAGATCTTGGCATTTTTGCATTTTTCTTTAGGGCTTGTTCTACTTTCTGACTGTATTATGGGAATGCCATTAAAGTTTTGAGTCCTGTAATAAAACCAGCATTTTAAGAGTTGTGCTTTTGGGAATGTTATATTTTTGTATCTTTTCCTCCACAATAAAGGTATTGAATATCTGTTATGAAAGATTTTAAAATAGCCTTATGTATTTCTTTCCATTATGAAATGTGGAATGGTTCCCTGAGACCAGCTCTTTTCATTGCAAATATCTAAGAAAATTAGTCTTTAACAAAAACTTTTTCTACTTAAAGTCTTTGAAACATGCTGACTTTAGCAAAAGTCATTTGAAGAATGAGAAACCAAAGGAGATGATGTAATTTTCCCCAAATCATATGGCTGGAAAGTGACCAGATTCCAGGTTTACTTGACCACAAAGCTTTCTGCATATTCCAAGCAGATATATTTTGAGTCACGAATTTGGCCTGTTTCTGACTGACTTAAACTGGCTCATGTTCTCTACTTGGGCTATTATATAGCCCTAAAGTAGGAGAAGAGATATAGTAACCTTCTATCTTGGAACCATAGCAAGATCATAGATGGCAGTGGCAGAAACAGCATTCTAATTTAGGTCTGTTTGACTCAAAACCCAGGAGAATTGTTTGGACTCTGGTTTTTCTTAATAGCCGTATTCTCCTTTACTACTGAGTACCTACATTGTGGAGATACACACACACACACACACAGAGTTACACAAATACACACACATCTTGTTAAGTTCTTAATAACTACTCTGAAGAAGGTGACGCTGCCATTCCATTTTACACACACAGGTGGCGCAGTGGTGAAGAATCTGCCTGCCAGTGCAGGAAGCACAAGAGATGCAGGTTTGATCCCTGGCTTGGGAAGATCCCCTGGAGAAGGAAATGGCAACCCACTCTAGTATACTTGCCTGAAAAATTCTATGGACCAAGGAGCCCGGTGGGCTACAGTCCATGGAGTCTCAAAGAGTCAGACACGACTGAGTGAGACACACATACAACTCAGAGATTCAGGTCATACATCTACTTTATGGAAGAAATGTTAACCATGTCTGACTCCAAAGACCATGTTACTCATATCCACACTGTCTTTTACCTCCTTTTCATCTATCTCTGATATCAGATCTTTAAACAAGGAACAGTTATTGAATGTAATTTTATATATTGCATTTTCTACTAGCAGATTGGTTTTTAAATCTTTATAAGCTATGAGACCATTTTATCTTTCTTCAAAATCAGCACGACAGTAATTGAGTTCATTCAGTCATCTCTGACTCTGCGACCCCATGGGCTGCAGTGCACCAGGCCTCCCTGTCTTTCTCAGTCTCCCGGAGCTCGCTCAGATTCACGTCCATTATTCTGATGCCATCCAACCACCCTGTCCTCGCCTCCCTTCTCCTCCTGCCTTCAGTCTCCCCAGCATCAGGGTCCTTTCCAATGAATAGGCTCTTCTCATCAAAGAAGAGTATTGGAAACTTCAGCTTCAGTTTCCAGTGAATATTCAGGGTTGACTTCGTTTAGGATTGACTGGTTTACTCTCCTTGCAGTTCAAGGTACTCTCAAGAGTCTTCTCCAAACCCATAATCCAAGAGTGTAAGTTCTTCAGTGCTCAGACTTCTTTATAGTCCAGCTCTCACATCCATACATGACCACTGGAAAAACCGTAGCCTTGACTAGGTGGACCTCTGTTGGCAAAGTAATGTCTCTGCTTTTTAATATGTGGCCTAAGTTGGTCATAGCTTTGCTTTCAAGAAGCAAGTGTCTTTTAATTTCATGGCTGTGGTGACAGACCACAATGATTTTGGAGCCCAGAAAATAAAAGCTGTCAGTTTCTATTGTTTCCCCAGCCATTTGCCATGAAGTGATGGGACCAGATGCCATGATCTTCGTTTTTTGAGTGTTGAGATTTTAAATTTAATCAGCTTTTTCACTCTCTTCTTTCACCTTCTTCAAGAGGCTCTTTAGTTCCTTTGCTTTCTGCCATAAAGATGGTGTCATCTGCATATCTGAGGTTATTGATATTTCTCCTGGCAATCTTGATTCCAGCTCGTGCTTCATCCAGCCTGGGATTTCATATGATGATATAAGTTAAATAAGCAGGGTGACAATATACAGCTTTGACATACTTGTTTCGCAATTTGTAACTGGTCTATTGTTCCAAGTCCGGTTCCAGCTATTGAATTCTTGACCTGCATACAGATTTCTCAGGAGGCAGGTAAGGTGGTCTGGTATTCCCATCTCTTTAAGAATTTTCCATAGTTTGTTGTTATCCACACAGTTAAAGGCTTTATCGTAGTCAATGAAGCAGAAGTAGATGTTTTTCTGGAATTATCTTGCTTTTTCTATAATCTGAAGGATGTTGGCAATTTGATCTCTGATTCCTCTGCCTTTTCTAAATCCATCTTGTATATCTAGAGGTTCTGGGTTCATGTACTGTTGAAGCCTAGCTTGGAGGATTTTGAGCATTACTTTGCCAGCATGTGAAGTGAGTGCAATTTTGCTATAGTTTGAACATACTTTGGCATTGCCCTTCTTTGGGATTGAAATGAAAACTGACTTTTTCCAGTCCTGTGGCCACTGCTGAGTTTTCCAAATTTGCTGGGATACTGAGTGCAGCACTTTAACAGCATCATCTTTTAGGATTTGAAATAGTTCAACTGGAATTCCATCACTTCCATTAGCTTTTGTTCATAGTGATGCTAAGGCCCACTTGACTTCACGCTACAGGATGTCTGGCTCTAGGTGAATGATCACACCATTGTGTTTGTGTCATTAAGATCTTTTTTGTATAGTCTTGAGTGTTTTCTTGCAACCTCTTCTTAATCTCTTCTGTTAAGTCCATACTATTTCTGTCCTTTATTGTGCCCATATTTGTATGACATGTTCCCTTTGTATCTCTAATTTTCTTAAAGAGATTTCTAGTCTCCTGTTGTTTCCCTGTATTTTTTTGCATTGTTCACTTTAGGAAGGCTTTCTTATCATTCTTTGCTATTCTTTGGAATTCTGCATTCAGATGGGTATATCTTTGCTTTTCTCCTTTGCCTCTCACTTCTCTTCTTTTCTCAGCTATTTGTAAGGCCTCCTCAGACAAGCATTTTGCTTCTTGCACTTCTTTCTCTTGGGAGTGGTTTTGACCACTGCTTCCTGTAAATATTACAAACCTCTGTCCATAGTTTTTCAGGCACTCAATCTATCATATCTAACTCCTTGAATAATCACAATGGTGTGATCACTCACCTAGAGCCAGACATCCTGGAATGTGAAGTCAGGTGGGCCTTAGAAAGCGTCACTACAAACAAAGCTAGTGGAGGTGATGGAATTCCAGTTGAGCTATTTCAAATCCTAAAAGATGATGCCCTGAAAGTGCTGCACTCAATATGCCAGCAAATTTGGAAAACTCAGCAGTGGCCACAGGACTGGAAAGGGTCAGTTTTCATTCCAATCCCAAAGAAAGGCAATGCCAAAGAATGCTCAAACTACTGCATAATTGCACTCATTTCACAAGCTAGTAAAGTAATGCTCAAAATTTTGAAGCCAGTCTTCAGCAATATGTGAACCATGAACTTCCAGATGTTCAAGTTGGTTTTAGAAAAGGCAGAGGAACCAGAGACCAAATTGCCAACATCCGCTGGATCATCGAAAAAGCAAGAGTTCCAGAAAAACATCTACTTCTGCTTTATTTACTATGCCAAAGCCTTTGACTGTGTGGATCACTATAAACTGTGGAAAATTCTGAAAGACATGGGAATACCAGACCACCTGACCTGCCTCCTGAGAAACCTGTATGCAGGTTAGGAAGCCACAGTTAAAACTGGACATGGAACAACAGACTGGTTCCAAATAGGAAAAGGAGTACGTCAAGGCTGCTTATTTAACTTATATGCAGAGTACATCATGAGAAACACTGGGCTGGAAGAAGCACAAGCTGAAATCAAGATTGCCGGGAGAGATATCAATAACCTCAGATATGCAGATGACACCACCCTTAGGATAGAAAGGGAAGAAGAACTAAAAAGCCTCTTGATGAAAGTGAAAGAGGAGAGTGAAAAAGTTGGCTTAAAGCTCAACATTCAGAAAACTAAGATCATGGCATCTGGTCCCATCACTTTGTGGCAAATAGATGGGGAAGCAGTGGAAACAGTGTCAGAGTTTATTTTGGGGGGCTTCAAAATCACTGCAGATGGTGATTGCAGCCATGAAATTAAAAGATGCTTACCTCTTGGAAGGAAAGTTATGACCAACTTAGACAGCCTATCAAAAAGCAGAGACATTACTTTGCCGACAAAGGTCTGTCTAGTCAAGGCTATGGTTTTTCCAGTGGTCATGTATGGATGTGAGATTTGGGCTGTGAAGAAAGCTGAGCACCGAAAAATTGATACTTTTGAACTGTGGTGTTGGAGAAGACTCTTGAGAGTCCCTTGGACTGCAAGGAGATCCAACCAGTCCATCCTAGAGGAGATCAGTCCTGGGTGTTCACTGGAAGGACTGATGCTGATGCTGAAACTCCAATACTTTGGCCACCTGATGCGAAGAGCTGACTCATTTGAAAAGACGCTGATACTGGGAAAGATCGAGGGCAGGAAGAGAAGGAGACGACAGAGGATGAGATGGTTGGATGGCATCACGGACTCAATGGACATGGTTTGGGTAAACTCCAGGAGTTGGTGATGGACAGGGAGGCCTGGCGTGCTGCGATTCATGGGGTCGCAAAGAGTCGGACATGACTGCGTGACTGAACTGAACCCCTTGTATCTGTCACTTCCACTGTGTAATGACAGTAATTGGGTTGCTGAAAAAAAAA